TTACAAATTAATAAACAGCAATCTCAGACAATAAGTGCATATTAGTCTGGATTACCTGTAGAAATCAAATGACATCGGTTGTTTTACTTTTTTTCTGGATTTTTGCATAATTTAATTAGTTAGCTACAGTGTAATAATATTATAATATGATTATTATAACATGATAAATTCAGTTAGATATTATTTGAAATGTTAAGATTATTAATTGTATGATTAAATTTTTTTAGCCATTTACATATATGGTTTGAAAATGGTGTCTCATAGGAAGTTTTACCAGATGTGAGAGTCGCCCATGATGCAAGGGAACTCGTTCTGGCGTGCTGTACAGAATTTATCCGTATGGTGTCATCAGAGGCCAATGACATTTGCAACAATCTGCAGAAGAAAACAATATCACCAGAACACGTGCTGGCAGGTAATCTGTTCTGGCTTCTCAAGAAATTTGCACAGCATTAGGTTTTTATACCAACTTGCTTCTCCGATGCTGTCACTATAAGGTTAAACGGTGTAAAATTCTCCTTGGGTGAGGGTTAGTAAAATTGATTGCCGAAGCTGATAAGGCGATCATGATTGGCACCTTGCTGAATTATGATCAGTTATATATCGGGCTTGTATTTGCCACAGTTATACTCTCCTTGACCCTACTTTGTTCATACAAGAAAGATTGGTTATATCATGTGCTGCAGGAAATCTGCAGATGATTACAATATAATATTCTCAAAGTATATACCAGATCTAATTTTGAGGAAATGTAGAATATGAAATAATGAGCCAGCAAAGTGTAATTTTGCAGTTTTTGTTTCTGTAATACTTATCATACATGTCGTTGCCAGCTTTGGACAGCTTGGGGTTTGGAGACTATCGGATAGAAGCTGAAGCTGTGCTCAAGGACTGTAAACAGGTTGCTAAGCAACGCAGGCGGGGCAGCACACGTTTGGAGAATTTAGGAATACCGGAGGCAGAACTCCTGCGGCAACAGCAGGAGCTATTCGCCCAGGTCAGTGGAATCCTTGCAAATGGGCTACTAAAATATAGTGTAGGACCATCCTATGTATGTAGGTAAAGAAAACTATAAAATGAACAATATTTTGGCAAGATAAGTGAGTAACCATGTGACTGTAGTTTTGTCGCTCCCCTTGGCCCACCCACGATTAGTTACCCTGAGCATCAAGTAGTCAGTGCAATACGTGTTAATAGTGGTTGTTGGGTGATTCTTGCAGGCAAAAGAGGAGCAGGCACAGGTTGACCAACAGGAATGGATGAGGATGCAACAGGAAGCGCAATTAGCTGCGATGATGCAGCAGCAGCAGCAGCAGGTTTTAGGACAGGCCAATTCTGATGACCACTATGGCTGACACAGGCATACTGCTTAGGACCGTTTAATAATATAATTTGTACAGATAGTTTGCAATTCACTCAGTTATCTATTGCGTGAAGCAGTTGTAATTTTGGTTTGTTTTAGGAGGTGGTAGTATGGTGCATGTAGCCACAAGATTGAAAGGCGATTGACAGATGTTTGTTCCCTAGTGATGTTTGTGGTTAGTTCACATGTACAGTACACACCACACATCTACAACCACATTAGACCCAATGTGTCAGATGTAAAAATATTCAGATAAAGATTTCTCTATGTATGTGCAGGTAGGTTGTTTCGAACTTGTGCCATGTGGTTATTGTCATCAACAAGTACGCATATTCTCATGATTATATTCATTCTCTATTGCTATCTGCCAGGCATGTGGCCATGAAAATTAAGAGATGTTTAGTTCTTATCAACAAGTACATTCTATGAAACTGCAGTATTTTTGCTCACATTTTGATAACACGAATGAATCCTGCCACAGATCAGCTGGCAATCAATTTATTTTGCACTTTTTTTTACAAATTACTAGCTCACTATTTATCATCTATTTTTGATCTCGTTAGTGAAAAATTGTGAGATAGGTAACATCAGTGCGGTTAATTCATTATAGCAAAACTGTAGAGGCAAAATGAACATTAGAGATTGCATTGCTACCAGTAGAACTATTGTACAATGTGTCATATATTAAAAAGAATATATACACCAACCTACCGCTTACCTGTGAGCGTCAGATTTACTAAATACCTTGTGGTTTTAAGACATAACAACGTTCTAGTTTTGAATTTTATTCATACATCAAGAAAACCTTTTATTTAGAGGTTTGAGCATTTGTATTTACTTCAGTTTTTATATGTACGAGTTTGCATACATGTATATATCTATACATAGAGAAAGTCAACACTGTCTTCATTTGTATATCATGAGTACAATATAACAATTTTATAGCAACTTCATTTACAATCGTTTCTTTTGGTAATTAATAAGCACCCAAAGAATATTCGTGCATATTGAAAGGATTAGTGGTGGCAGTTGTGGGAACATTGGTACATCTTGGTTAACTAGCAACTAACCACTGCATCAACAGTAACTGAAATGTTTAAAAGCATTTTAAGACATGATAATTTAATGTTTTCCCATTTCATTTTGGTGTATAAAAACGACACATGTATTTGTTCTACTATTACCATACAATTTATTCATGAACTAAAAGGAGCATCTCAGCATAACACCTCATGTTCACGTTTGATTCATAGGCATGATAATACATACCCATTTATATACAACTAGAACCCTATACAATTCTTAGAAAATATCCCTTAGATTGATTTCATAGTCATTACTTTTAGACAGTCATTAGAAATAATTACGGAAATGGTTTCTATGAAGTGAGATGTGGCCGAGTTCACACGCACGATACAACCCACATGAGCCAATAAATGTTTGTAGATAAATTATTTATCTACCTACATTCTTTAAAGATACATTGGTATTAAAATAATAATTGCAGGTGATTAGTTAGCTAGGCTGCATTATCATAGAACGTACAAATTGTAAATAGCATTATTGGTTTTCTGCCGAGATTGGGCTGTCCATCTGAGTTTGGTGAAACACTGCCTCATAGTATGTTGGATTATAGTTGATTGGGAAACCGTTGTTGTAACTGTATTGCACAAGCGATGGATTATTAAAGAAGTCCTGCATCGATTGCTGAGGCTGTAGCTGGCCGAGTCTGCCCTGAGATTCACTGATGACACTCGCAGCCGACACGGGCATATTCTGCATCATTGGAGAAGGCACCTGGTCTTGGTGTGGTGTTGACGCTGGTGTAGGGTGGTGAGGTGTGGGTGCTGGTGTCGGCTGGTGCGACACCACAGTTTGGGACGGGGTAGGCATAACCTGAGTTGACACGCCTGACATGACAAGTTGCGGCACCGGCGAGGACATGGCGATGTGTTGCGCGTGCTGCGCCACCGGCGACATCGGCTGAGTGCAGGTGGAGTTCGGCAAGAAGCTGGATTCGTGAAGTTGCTGAGGCTGCATTGTCTGTTGCTGCATCTGTGCCAAGAGGTGAGAGTTCTGCTGCACGATATGCTGCTGCTGTTGCTGCTCCTGCTCACTGTCGATCGCAATTTTCTCGATGAGCTGCACATTCTGACCCTGAACCGTCAGCTGATAGATCTCCAGAAGTTTCGGTTCATAGGCACTCTCTACATACTCCTCTGGCTCAGCAGCAGCCGCATAGACGTGCATCGAATGCTGCTGCTGCTGTTGTTGTTGTTGTTGCTGCTGCTGCTGCTGCACGTTAGGCGCCTGTTCGTTCTTCGCTGGATTGCTGAGGCACTCCTTGATGTCATCCATGCTGATGTTGGCACGCACGTCCCGCACAGGGTCTACCTCTTCCTTGTCAACCCTGCGCGGCCGCGCCGTCGGAAACTGCGTACCGTGCAGCGACTGCATGTGCCGCTTTAGATGCGACATGCGCTTGTACGACTGTCCGCACTGGCACACGTACGGTCGCTCCTCGCTGTGGATGCGCAGGTGCCGTCGCAGGCCACTCCTGCCCTTGAACCCCTTGCTGCACTTGGGGCACGAGTAGAGGCGGTCCTCGGAGTGCACATACGCGTGGTGCTCCTTCAGCGTGGCGTGTGCATGGAAAGCCGAGCCGCACAGCTCGCAGACGAAACGCCGCTGGTCCGTGTGCAGGTCGATGTGCCGCTTCAGATTCGTGCTGCACTTGCACTTGTACTCGCAGTAGGGACACTCGAAGGGCCGGTCGTCGCTGTGGCCCTTCATGTGACGCAGGAGGCCCTGCTTGCGGTGAAACGAGGCGCCGCACGTCGCGCACAGGAACGGCCGCTCCATGTCCTGCAGCATGCCGTCGACCGACTCGCCCGCCTGCCGCATGTGACTCACCGTGAGCACGTGCTTCTGCAGTGCGCGGCGTGTGCGGAAGCTCTTGTCGCACATCGTGCACTGTATTGGCCGCTCGCCCGTGTGCAGCCGCATGTGGATGTCGAGCAGCAGCGGGCGCTGGAAGCGCTTGTGGCAGATGCCGCACTCGTGCTTCTTCTCTCGCACGCGCAGCACGCCGTGCATGCCGCGCATGTGCCGCAGCAGGCCTTTCTTCGTCGAGAAGTTCTCGCGGCACAGCTGCAGCGTGCAGTCGTACTTGCGGTGGCCAGCGAGGTGCTGGTCGTACTGCTGCTTGCGCATGAACGCCTCGCCACACTTGAGACAGCAGTACGGCGCCTCCTCCGAATGCCAGTTCATGTGCTGCTCGTACGACGCTTCCGTCTCACACATCTGCCCACACTTCTGGCACACAGGTTTGCTGCCGGAGTGCTCCTTGAGATGCACAAACAGTGATGGCCGCTTCATGAACTGGCGCGGGCAGTACTGGCACGTGTAGAGTTTCTCAGGCTCGGGCACCTTGTGTAAGGTGCGCATGTGCTTGCACAGTTCCTTCCGCTTCGTAAACAACTGCCCGCACAGCTGGCAGTCATTCTTGCGGTGGCCCTCCACATGCTTGTCAAAGTGCTGCGAATGCGTGAATGTCATGCTGCACTTTTCGCAGGTGAACGGACCCATCTGCTTCTTGCATACGTGCCGCTTGCAGTCGGCCCCATTGTAGAACTCGTTTTTACACTCGCGGCAGCACACAGGCGCATAGCCGTGCTTGCGCACGTGAGCGGTGAGCGATTTTTTATGAAAGAACGTCTCCTCGCACTCGGGACAAGGAAGTGGGGTGTCGCTTTTCGGTACTCGGAAACCCTTCTTTCTACCACGCTTATTTATTTTCAGCGGCGCCGGTGGTTGAGACCCACAGGAACTCGTCGATGTGTTTAACTTGACTTCACCTACAGTCCTCTTCTCAGCCACCTCTGAGTCACCCGTAGTCACAGCCGGCTCCAGCACCAACCCGTTCTCAGCTTCAGCATTATTCTGCGGCCTCTTCAGTGGAATGCCTCTCCCCGACTCTCGGCCACTGCTCTTCGTCGCCATGCCAACCTTTCTGCGGACGGATCCTGCCGCTCGTCTGGCAGTTGCTGTACGTGTCAATGGGGCTGTGGGATGCGCACCACTTCCCTTCTCTTCGTCATCCAGCTGGCTACCGATAGCCTTTTTCATGGCAATGGCCGCCTTGGCCGCAGCCTGTCGAGTCTGTTTACGTGTCGATCGCAGCTCAGTGAGAGCCTGCGCCGCCTGATTCTCAAGCTCTGTCGCGCTCACAGCTTCCACGCGGGTCTTGACCGATGAGCCGACATTTTTCACATCGGCGATTTCCGCTTTAGTGGCCATTCGACCCATATCGTTGCTGTCATGCAGGTCACTCTGGCATGCAGGTTGCTTGCCTGAGCTGAGACCACAGGTGAAGTCGGTATCACTGAGGTGGCTGGCGTTTAGTTGGGGTACCTGCATGCCAGGCATGCATTCCGTTGCAGTGGGAAGATTGTGAAGGGGATGACTAACTGCATCTCCGTTTATGTGTGGGACAGGTTGTACGCCCATACCGGCTATGGCTACAGCACCAGAATCGAGAAGTAATTTCTCTGAAAAAGGAACATTGTGTATAAATATCATATTGGATCGAGTATGATGGCACTATTATGGAAGGTTGTGCACATGGCTGATATAATACTAATAGTAGAGATTATTTCGTGCATTTTATAGCAATATAATATTATGTATTGTTTTAAAAGGAGCACAATAATAATGCATTTTACATATGAAGTCATCCCAACTGAGCAAATTCGTGTTAGATTCTTGATCTAGATCTTGGATGTATGCTCTAGTATATATATAGAGAAACAAAACTATATAAATATATATATAAACATAACCAGGTTTTAAAGCACTGCATTACCGTTTTAATATTTTTCCTACACACTCAAAAGTCCAGTCTGAGCTTCTGACATATGGTTAGTTACAGCAATGAGATGTTTTGTACAGGTCTACCTAACTCCACGACAGCTATGTTATGCTCACACTTTGAACCTTTTAAACGTAAATGGCAAGCATACCAATATTACCTGTATTGCAGGCATGGCCATTTAGGGCATGCGGAGTCGGCTGCTGATCCAACTCGGAATCACTTTGCCCCAATACTGATTGGTAATTCTTCAAGGCATCATTGAGAAAGGCTAATGCAGCAGGCAACTCACTGCTAGATAACTGACTGAAAGTTGACTGAAGAACATCACAGATCTGTAAAAGATACATGTTTCATATAATAGTCACACTGAGAGAACAATGCATTAGTGAATGGCACCATTGCCGCACCAATGTCGAATTTTTGGAAAAAACTTGTCGAAACTCAGGTTTGTTCTAATTACCGGGTTTCCAGCATGAACCAGAGATAAAAAATTGTAGCCTGCAATGATGAGGTAGGTCATATAGCTACAATTATGTAAATGCTCCACTAGCAAGCCAACTTAGCCAAGGATCTGCCAAGATAAAAATTATGAGCAGTGACTAATCTGGCTGCTTAATATGGGCACCCATGGTGAGCGTAGCGAGCGTAAAAAAATTATTTATATATATTTTATCTGTTCATCACAGAACGATGAACAGTTTTGCCTCATTTTACAAAACATTTTTAGATCTGTACATGATTTTGTGATAATATATCAATTATTACACTAGTACAGTTTTGCAATATTATAGTCACTGTGCAAAAACAATATGCACATGGATAAACACCATATATATATATATATGTAACCTTGCAATGGGGTTAGCCGCTAGCTTTGTCAGCAGGTGGCGCAGCGGGAGTTAGAGGTGTTACAACGATTGCGCAATCAACGCGTCAGTTGGAAAGATACAGGAATCATGAATAGCCGATCGTATCGTCATAGCGATATAACCAAGTTAAAATGCTTCGTAAAGTCTGCAGCGATCACTTCAGAGAGGCTGACTATACTAGCACACTTTTAAGTAAGTGTAATATCGAAAATAGCTTATAAACATTAGTTTAGCTCATTTTGACTTTGCGGGTTTGCAGTAGTTTCTTGCGTATTCCATGCAGTCTAGATTATAAAAACAACTGTTAGTGTTATCATTGACAGCATTTATCGGCTACAGAGCAGTATAATTATATAGGACAATGCCAGTGGCAAGTTCAGCTGGTAATTGGTAAATAATCCAGATGAGACGGGATACTAGAGAAGCGTTGCCCGAAAGGAGGTGTTGATCCGAAGCGCTGAGCAGCAGATCTTGCGCGCAGTTCGCGGCAAGGCGCACGCGGACCGCGGGAACGTCGTACGACAGTATGCAGCGCTGGCAGCTATGGATCCGTGTGCCGAGTGCGTAGGCCGGGCACGATCCATAGCTGCCAGCGAGCAGCTCGAGAATTTTAGGAAGAATAGAATGAAAGAGTGAGACTTTTCGACTTTCATTACTGCCGCTTACATTAACTGCCGCTCTCTTCTTTCTTCGAATCCGAAATTCGAATCCGAATCGGTATCAGGTACCGAATCAGTGTATAAATTTACTTGCGACTAACATACCATATAGTAATGTATTACCACCAATTGTACCAATTGGTACAATATAGCCATATTGTAATCCTGATCAGACAGACTTGTTTGTTTTGTCTGTTTGATTATTGTGATAGTGTGATGCTTATTAAATGACAACACAAGGAGCGGTATAACGTTACGACAAGCGCAAGTATATTCACGGCAAACTGGTGTACATGCTGGCTCGCAACTGCTCGCAAGTAACTGCTCTAAAAACAAAGCCACTCAGTTAGGTGGCGGCGCATCTGGGCGAATACAAACGAGATCAATCGAATACTGTGACAATTATGACCCCCCCATTTTTGTTTATTTAATGCGCAATGGGAAAGTAACCTAACCCCCGGAAAAAATGGAAGAGTCCAGAGACTCGAGATGAGAGAACAATGAGTAGTGTGTGATTGTGGTCATTCCACATGCTGACGCCATTTTCACAACCAAGTAATTGTGTTCTTCCCATCTTTTACCATTTTAGAGTTACTTTTATATAATGAATGATTTGGCTATAAGAATGTTTATGAGTGACACTTTTGAGATTATGATTGATATGTTATTTCACAAGTAAGAGATAATTTGAGAGAGAAATACATTCAGAACGGAGTTGTAGCTAGTGCAGATAGTATTACTGTTGTGTACTGTATGTAGGATGTAGTTGTACTTGCGTACTGTAGTTGTGTTACTGTAGTGTTACTACTTACTTATGTGTTCACATAGTAATTGGTTTATGATTAGTGATGGAGATATTGAAGGTAGTTTAAAAGTAACAGGTATATAATAAGGTAGGGTTTTTAAACTTCAGTAATGTTCATTTTTTTATAGGTTGTAATGGTTGAATCACATGCATCCACTCTCTATAATTATAGCCATGCCATGTATGATAACATGGATATAACGCGAGTTACTGTATATGATACATGGTGAATAGATAGTAATTTGATTTGATATGTGATTTGATATGTGATTGTGATATGTGATAATTACAGTGATTTGATATGTATTATTAGAATGTGAGCTGCGTTCACACTGTAATTTAAATCGGTTTATTTTCGGATTAGTTCAGGAATAAGACTTATTACGAATGCATATAGAAGCATTAATACCTTAATGGTGTCGTGAATAGAACTTAATTAGGAGGAAGCCTAGTATATGAAAAGATTGTAGTTTATGTCATTAGTTTGATTTATTGGTCAATTTAAGACTAAAACATAAACAAGTTCTTGTTACTTTGAGGTTCATGACTGTTTGTATATTTATTACTCTGTATGATTATGAATGTTTTGGTAATGGTGACGATTATGAGAGTAATAAAAGTCATTCCACATGCTGACGCCATTTTCACAACCAAGTAATTGTGTTCTTCCCATCTTTTACCATTTTAGCCCCCTGTACCCGTATAGGGGCGTTACAATATTAATCACGTTAATTATACACACAGACACTCGGCTATATTAATCACCGGCATTTATTCTACATGTTTTATTATTGTTATATTGAGATTAGCTCTCGAGTGCTATAGCCTTTCGTTGCCACCACGCATTTTTTTGATAATATATTTTCATTAACGTTTGCTTAAATATGTCTTATTTTTAGACGAAAGAAAGAGACTTAAGGTTGACGCTGTAATGTGCATGTAAACGCACGCTCAATGCTCAAAGGAAAATCCCAACTTAATGCAGAGACAGTTGTTAGGGATAGACGTATCGCATCTAAGAGGATTCATGTAGAAAGGGTCATTGGTCTGACTCTAAGCAAGACATTTAAAATATTAAAAGAGACCTGCCCCATCAGAAGATTTCTCTCGGTGGAAGAATTGTTAAGGTGTGCTTCATTGATTTCCAACTTTAGGCCGAGCTATTGTCAGCAGTAATGCTAGTGTCTGTAGTAAATGGCTGCATTTATAAATAAAGATATACATAATTTGTATTGCAACTTGAGTCTTTGTAGCATTAATAATCTCAATAAACATATTACATAACTCCTGAGCACACACAAAAGAATCAACACCCACTTCACATATGCACCACTAATATCACCGTGAATCTCAATTTAAACATATTACACAACTCCTCAGCACACAAAAGAATAAACACCCACTTCACATATGGACGCAAGCGCACACGTACGCATGCACGCACGCACGCACGCACACACGCACGCACACACTTGTACGTGCGCACATGTACGTGCACACGCACGCACCCATACACGTGGACGTGCACACGCATGCACACACGCACACACGTGTGAAGCCTGCACACCCACGCATGCACGTACATGTATGACCACACGCACGCACGCACGCACTTGTACGTGCATGCACACGCACGCCCGCACGTACATACGCACGCATTCACGCACCTGTACGTTTATACGCACGCACGCAAGCACACACGTACGCATGCACGTACATGTATGACCACACGCACGCACACACTTGTACGTGCACACGCACGCACGCACGCACACACGTGGACGTGCACACCCATGCACCCACGCATATATATTGTCAGCGCGAATATAGGTGGTGTACGACAGTAGGGGGCTCTTCTGCAGGTCATACATGTACCTACATACATACATGAATCTCAATAAACATATTACATAACTCCTCAGCACACACAAAAGAATAAACACCCACTTCACATATGCACCACTAATATCACAGTGTATCTCAATAAACATATTACATAACTCCTCAGCACACACAAAAGAATAAAAACACCCACTTCCCCCACTCTATCCCGGGTGTGCATCTGGGTACGCGGATAATCTTCACCTCTGCAGATGTGCTGCCCTCCAGCGGCAACTGTTTCTAGCGGCTAACCCCATTTCGTAAAATAAGCTCACAGGACTATACCGAAGGAGAGAGTCAAGGTTGATTAAACCAATAGAATGATGCACCTAACTAGAGAACGAAGATAAGTTTAATATTGTAACATTATTGTATGACAGAAACAAAAAGGCTAAATTTAAGGGATTCTTTGAAGACGACTCATGATGGTGAAAGCAGTGAACAGACTTAATTAGCTCTAGAACTATATAGCCCTTTGCTCTGCACACCTGTGCCGGAGCGAAGGGCTATAGTTCGAGAGCTATGACCAGACTTAGATCCCTAAACATACCTCATATAAAAATATAAACATAATACTAAACAACCTAAAACTACATTGGGTACATATATGTAGTACCTGATACGACAACAACCCTTCGTGCAATACTTACTAATAATCTATGTATATTATATGTGGTATAACTATATATAACTAGATGTATACATGCACTGCTGTACGTGTAGATGAAAAATGTGATTTTATGTCATACATTTGCAATGCCGCATCTATCGTGTTATCAATACACATCTCGCACATCTAACACGTCTATGAAGGATCGAGCACACTACCGCTAATAAGGTCTATGTCCCCCAAAGGGTACTATCGGAGGGTACCCTGGTACTATCTAATATGCCGGACCGTACCTCGCCTACTCCACTAAAGAGTCTAGGGAGTCGCCTACGCCTACTCCCTAACCCTATCAGATAGTTACCAGGGTACGTTCCGATAGTACCCTGGGGGACATAGACCCTACGAGCCTGACTTGTAACCGATGTATTTCCGATGTTGTAAAACCAAAATATAAAAGCTAGCTCTTCGTTTAAAAAAAAGGAAAAAGAAAAATAGTCAAACATAGCATACATTTTTATTGGATTGCGATGTTTTGAGGTTTCTTCTATGTGATGTGGTAACTTGACAGAGTGTATGTATTACGACATCAGTTGGCTGAAAGTCAGGGTACGGTGGGACAATGCAGGGTACGCAGCGACATATCGTATAGTACCCCGAGGTACGTACTTTCCGATATATCGAACCATACCCAGGGTACCCTCCGATAGTACCCTGAGGGACATAGACCCTATCAGCCACACTACTTGGTACTTACTCCACTCCAGCCGCAGTATCTGTTACTGATGCTGAAGGGTTCGTTGTCGTATAGGGTACTCTAACCCTAACCCTATTAACCCTAACCATATCAGATAGTTAATTACCTCCACAGGCACTTGGAGCGTTTCAATAAAATATAATGCTAAATAAATACGAAATCTATTTACTACCAAAGTCTTAATGTTTCTATACTCTCTTTCACCTATTATTGCCGACAATTTCCTTTAAATGCCGTCCAAATGCTCATCTACAACAAACACTGACTGCCGCCAAGCGCCATTGCTGCCGCTGCACACTGTCACTTATATATATATATTTATATATATTTAGGCATTTACAGGAAATTGTCGGCAATAATAGGTGAAAGAGTATAGAAACATTAAGACTTTGGTAGTAAATAGATTTCGTATTTATTTAGCATTATATTGTATTGAAACGCTCCAAGTGCCTGTGGTTACCTCGGGTACATATATGTAGTACCCTATACGACAACAAAACTTCGTGCGTTACTGATGCTCATAGGGTCTATGTCCCCTAGGGTACTGCCGGAACGTACCCTGGTAACTATCTGATA